ATTTCTTATTAAAGGGATAATATTTAGAGTTGTTTAATCCAAGTATATTTCTTATATACTACAATAGGTTGATCAATCAAATGGCGACACGTCACGTGTCCCTACAAGCTTGGCCAATCAAGGGGCTACTTATTGGTATTATCTCTTTATTAATGAATATAAAATGAAGAGATAATATGTAAGTAGGTACAGTTCTAATATGACTATACGTCTTGCAAGACAAGTAGAGTGGTATACATGTCTTCAACCTCTACCTCAAACCACAACTATAAATAGGGGTCTCTCTACCAAGACAGATACACAGAGACATCCAGAGGCATCTCATACGCTCAAGCATTGAAGCTCCAAGCTACGAAAGGTTCGGGTCTTCAAGCTCTTCAAGTCTCTCATATATCAAGACTTGAGTCTTCAAAATATCTTTTAAGTTCTTCAAATCTTCCATATCAAGATTTGAAGGAACCGGTAGTGGATCCAAGAACAAGCTGCGCAGCCCTTGGATTGGCGTTCGAGGAGGAGAATCGAGGGAAACTCTCTACAAATTTGAGAAAACCCCAGACATTGTACTCACATATTTTTCTAAATTTATATATTACATATTTGTCTTGTATCTTTCTTGTCGTTTTGCAGACTTGAAATTTTTATCGCGTACATAGACCACACAATGACAACCCATTGTAGTATCAAGTAAAACTTAAACCTCCTAGATTTGGCTTGCTGCATCCTTGACTGCTCTTGTAACCTTGCAATCTCATCTTCCATCTTATTTTTGCTGTTTGGTACCACACACAACAAAAATTATGGCTGATGATTTCCATTACCTTGTAATTTGGACAGCGATAGAACCTTCTTCCCGGGTTCATGTTCCGCCAAGCTGTGACCATTTCTATTGGTTTTCGGCAATTACAAGTTTCCCTCACTATCAATCCTTTGCACTTTCTTTTTACCTTGACTGTTCTTCCTTCAATTGTGAAGATGTAGCCGCTGGTTTCTCTTTGTGTAGGGTAGCAAAGGCCACCCTTTTATAACATGGGTCAAGTTAATTACTTGATCCATATTTGGTGGTTAAATGGAGGGAAATTTCCCTCCTTTGTTCTCCTTAATTTTCTTTTTTTCCAGAAAAAGGATTTTTCCCAAATGCCCCTCACTAATGGCGTGTGTTTTACACGCCCCAAAAACCCTAACGGTTTTATGGACTCTGTCAATGATTTTCCTTAAATGAGATAGATTTTAAAATTTACGGACTTAAGTGTCCCATTTTGAAGTTTAGGACTGAAGTGGAAAATCGTGCATACTTTAGGGGGTCAAAATGGAATTTACCCATGTTATTATATATATTTTACATATATAATTAGACTCATATATGAGTCGGATTTTAATCGAACCTAAGCCTAGTACCGCCCAAGCTCAACTCATATTTAGTTCAAGTTTTAATATTTAGGTCCAAATTCTGTTCGGCCCAATTAAAACTTAAGTTCAATGAGTTTTTTGCGAGTCGATCAGGCTGACCCGACCTCATTGACAGTCTTTGCCGCCAGTGAATAAAGAAATATTACATCCCTAGATGACAAGTCCTAATGGTATTTATATACCCATAGAATTAACATACAAAGATTATAAGGCAGAATATTTTGTTGCATACATCGATAGTGGATTAGGATCTTGCTTATGTAAATGATCTTGCTTTCCTAAAAATTATACTAAAAAATTAAAAGAAATAGTCGGACCAGATATATCAAATAATCCAATTCATCTTTCTGAAGGAGTATCTTCATGACAGATATTACTTGGAGATTTTCTAGTTAAATATCCACCTTTTTACTTTCATGATACAGGAACTAATATATTACTTGAAAATAATTTCTTACAATTATTTCATAAAAGTCTTATTTGATACATTAAAACAGCATATTTAAAACCCTATGTGGACATTGGATTATAGTAAACTGCAATGCTAAGGCTTATGCACGAAAACACCGATTAATTTTCGTCCTCACACAACCCAGCGTGGTGGTATTAGTTACAAAGAAACCACTTTTTCCTAAAGGAAAACCGCAATTGAAAATAGAAAATATAATAGATTTGACAACCAAGCAAATAAAGATAATAAAAGAAGAACTAGAAAAAGTAAAAGACAAAATAAATCAATGCTATTCAGGTAATCTTTAGAATTTTGGGATAAAAATAAAGAGGAAGCCCAATTAAAACTAATAGATAAAACCAAGATAATTAGACTAACGTTTATGAGATATAATTTACAAGACCAAGCGGAATTTAAAAAACAACTAGAAGAATTACAAAAATTAAAGATAACACAGCCAAGTAAGTCTCCTCACTCATTCCCTGCCTTGATGGTTAGAAACCATGTAGAATTAGTTAGAGGAAAAGCTGGAATGGTTGTCAATTGCAAAAAATTAAATGATAATACTGTCTTTAATGGATTTTTTTACTACATAAAGAAAGTCTAGTAAATGCCACAAGAGGGAAAAGGATATTCTCTAAATTCGATTGTAAAAGTGGTTTTTGGCAAATAAAAATAGCTAAAGATAGTATTCCACTAACAGCATTCTCTTCCACACAAGGACAACATGAATTGTTAGTAATGCCATTTGGATTAAAAAATGCTCAACAAATATTCAAAAGAAAATGGATAATATCTTTAAAAAATATGATTTCTGTCATGTATATGTTGATGATATTCTTATAACTAGTGATAATATTGTGCAACATAGTATTCATTTGAATACTTTTGCAGGTCTATGCTTAAAACATCGATTAGCTCTTTCCGAGAAAAGACAAAGATATGCTTACCAGAAATAGAATTTTTAGGCATATAAATAAATGGAAAAGAAATAAAAATGCAAACTCATATACTTGAAAAGATTACTCAATTTCCATACCAACTTACTGATAAAAAGCAGCTTCAAAGCTTTCATTGAGTTTTAAATTATGCCCCAGATTTTATTCAAAATCTCACTTAATTAAGATAGCCATTTCAAAAGCTTTTAAAGAAAGACCGAAGGTTTGAATTCTCACCGTACTTAATTGACCAAGTAAAAAGGATAAAATTACTCTGTCATGATTTATCATTATTAAGTCTACGTACAGATGCTTCACACTCTAATTGGAGTGGAATTCTAAAGAAAATAAATTATGATGATACAAACTAAAAGATTGGGAGCCTTTGTGCAGGTATTGTTCAAGTACATTTTTAGGCACTCAACAATGACTTCATATCAACGAAAAAGAGTTGCTTGCCATGGTAAAAGATTGTAGAAAATTTTATTATTTTCTTTTACCAAAAAAGTTTCTTTTAAAAACCGATAATACTCAAGTCAAAGGTTTTATTCAAAACTACCTTTTCTAAACTGAAATATCGGAGACTAATTAAGTGGCAAACACTTTTGTTTGAGTACACCTTTGATACTGAAATAATTAAATCAGAAGAGAACGTTTTAGCAAATTTTTTAACTCGAGATGGGAGGTCCTGATTTAAACAACAAATGCATGATTTAATTGCCCAAATGTCTGAAAAAATAGATACACTTCAAGGGACACTTTGAGATATTACAAAGATAGCAAATTTTGGAAGTATTCCCAACAAAGTTTCTGATTTACTTATTTCACTTCGATATACATATATATATATATACACACACGCGCACACATACATACATTTACATATATATATATATATACACACACACATACATTTACATATATATATGTGTGTGTATATATATATGTAAATGTATGTATGTATATTTTTAAAAGTTTTATGCCTAAATAAAATTTTTCAACGTTGAGGGGAGTAATTGCCCACTCTCAACTCCATTTGACTCTGCCTCTGGGATTAGACTCCTCTCCATTACCTTTTCTCTCCAATTTCCTGAATACACCCTTGGATGACACATTTATTAAATATGGATCTGTCTAATATATGCATTATCGGCACTCATTAAGATATATTTCTGATGTTATATTTTTTAAAATATAAGATTAATTAGAAAAAATAAATAAATATAAGGAAGGATAGGTAAGATTAAATAGGAAAAGCATATAATATACATGTAAGGGAGAGTAATAATTATTGTATATACATGATAGGTTAGATAAATGTTAAGTGCGTTAATGAGTGCCCTGTGAGCACCCGTTAGAAAAACATATTAAATATTTATAAAGGGTTAGGATTACTTTTATCTAACTATGTTTCCAAACACGAGGGTAGAGTGTTAATTATGACATCATTCCATTAAGTTGTCTACTTAGGAAAGTTCCTACTAGTTTTAATTATCAAGATTAGAATTGATCTATGTTTTCTGTTTTAAAGATTGAAATTGATATATGTTTTCCTCACTTTTAAGAAGACTAAAAGAAACGAAAATAATATAAATAGTTGTGATATATGAAAAATCATATGCATCCCATAAAACCAAAAAAATTGATTTTTGATTAAATTTATTGCTCATTCTTTCTCATTTCTTTCTCTTTTTTTATTTTAAAAAATCAACAAGTCTATAACCAATACTCCACATGTTATCCCCACCTTAGAGAGGATTGGCAGCCCAAAGGGAATCCAAAGCCACCAATTTCACATTTTCTAAACAGTTTCATTCTTGACAAAACATATAACATGGTTTGCATCATTATTTGATTCAAAATTTTGCATAGTCCATTATGAAAATCCTGTATACAACAAAATCATGAAAAAGAAGAAATATAGCATCATATACATGCCAATTCTCATGCCTTGAAGAGTAACAGCAACATATATCAAAATCATGATATTTATTCATGGATGCACTTACTTTGCACTATGCAGCTATTAAGAAGCCGCATTATTTTGCATTAAATCTAGAACAACACTGAAACTTTGGCAAATAATATTCATTCCACTAACATGGAGAATCTGTTAGTAAGAATCTTGCAAACTGCAGCAGTCAATGCTTCTGGATTCTTAGCCACTTTGGCTTAGGTACTGAAAGTAAGAGAACATGAGATAATCAGCTAATTTGTCCATCATTGGCATCAGGCAAAACTAAACTTTCATCATAGATGTCCACCCGAAGATCATCACCAACATGTGGTGAATTATAGCTAATAGTACAATCCTCGTATGAATCATCTTCAAGATTGTAAAGGACTAATCTGGACCCCAGTTTCAGCAATAACTTACCATTAATTGATAAGAACACAGGTTGCATTGCACAAATGGCAGATCGCGAAAATTGACATTTAAGATCATCTTCAGGATAAGGAATCATCAACATTTTAGTCCAAGATTGTCCAACTCCATAGTCTGTCATAATCCATAAGTTCACATGTTCCTGAACATGGTGCCAAAGCAAAGCCAGATACCCTTCCCCTAAAACTCGTATACTCCATTTCATAGAACCCGTCATCACCGTATAATTTTCTGGCAGTTCTATATCTCCGTAAGTCTCATCAACCAAATCAAAACTAACAATTTTATTCGCAGGATAGAGGCCTCTTTTACGGCGAGACTTTGCAGCCCAATGATGCTTCCCATTCACAAAAGCGCCCCCATAATTAACACGCCAATCTTTTAGGGAAAGGTGATTCCTGGAACCCTCAATCCTCTTCCAAGAATTTTAGACCTTCGACTATAAATTTTAAGAACTTGATCCTTGGGACTGTCCATTCCCCATGAGGAGTCACATACGAGTGCTACGAATTTGTGATCATCCTGCAGCTCAAAATACCGAACCCATATATTCCAAGATCCGATCTTTTAAATTCAAAACTCCAATGAGGAAGTCTGCTGAATGTCCTGATATATGGGTTCCACAAGTACAAACATCGCTCCTCGCAAACAATAAACCTGGTGACAATGCATATCAACCCATTAGAGAAACCCACAATTTCAACTGACTTCCCCGCGGCTGGATGCTGAATTTTGCTAGCCGGAGTCACGGATGAAGCACACACGGAATATGATGCAGAATTAAGATGACATTATGTTAGGTAACTATTAAAGAAGTCGAAGGAACTCGAGAAAATCAACTTGCGTTGGGCAGTGTTGTCTGCCTTGGATGATTTTTTGAGATGGCTTTCGATGAATTCTGGGCTTTTGATCATCGACTGCCAAGAATTCGAGACGCACATGAATCTCAACAGGGACTTGACTGGGAGTCGTGCAAGGATATGGAAGATGAGATCAAGAGGGAGTTGAGGATAAGTAGCCTTGCAAGCCTTGCTTCCCATTACCAAAAATATCCAAGAAACAGTGCCCTAAGGGTTGGGGGAAAAAAGATTAGCAGCAAAGGAAGAAAGAGCGGCTGGCTAAACGGAAAATGCTAAGAAGACCAAAAAAATTTGAAGGATATGGCGGGAGGAAAGATAAGAGAAAGCAGGGGACGGGAGAGGAAGAAAGAGGCGAGAAAAAGCAGGGGAAGGGGGACGGAACGTCGCACTACCTGTTTAAGGATTAAACGACTATGTCTAAGAACAAACCGCTATGGCCTGTAAAGTTTGTGATGGTCTTCTAAACAACTAATTCGTTATTTGGTGTTCAAGTGCACAAAATTTTGTAGTGGGAGTTTAATAGATAACTTCAAATCTAATTAAGATTTGAGTACATAAAACATGACATGGAACCAAAATAAGCATCTCAAACACAAAAAAGCCTTATATGAACAATTCACATGTCTATTTTCAAAAAGTAATTTTCTACTACAATTCTTAATTCTTTGGTCTTATTTCCATAATGAAATGATTTTGCTACTTCAACATGTAATTCAAGGTACAATTGAAACTAGAAGGAAAAAAACAAAAAAAAAAACAATTGTACTATGTCATTCTAGGAGGTGAGGATATCAATCTGCAGGTCTTCAGTATCTTGTTCTTCCTGAATCTCCCGTACTAACCTTTCAACCGAGGGTGAACACCCGCAAACTTCAATCTTTTCAAGAGATGAAGTAGACCCTAAACAAGAAGGGATTTCTTTCATCCCACAGCTCTGCAATATTAATTTCTGAAGACGTGGAAAATGATCACCTGATCCTGTCCACCTGGTGATACCCAAGCTACGCAAATGTAATATTCTGAGGTTGGGAAATTCAACTTCAACTGGTATCTCCCATGTTCTCTCCTTATCAGCGCTGTCCGACGATAATGTCAGAACCTCAAGATTGGGTAGTTCCCAAATTCTGGAAATCATATTCCACGAAAAGAAAAAGAGATGCAACTTTCTGAGACTCGATGGAAAGTGAAACTGAAGACGACATTTTTGAGCCCACATAAGAGTAACACTGAGTGATTCTAGTCGACTCAGATGGTCCATTTTCACTATCCTACTGCAATATGGAACACAATCCTTTGAGACAAAGAGATGGAATTTTAGCTTGCGGATGTTTGGGAACTTCATTAGTATCTTTTCCATGCTCTGCCCATGATAAAGCAATATATTGGAAATACTGCTCAAGTTATATAGGACAGAGTTGTTTTCAAGAATGCCATTCACCAGACTAACTTTACCCATACTCCAATTCACGCTTATATGCCTCAAATTCGTCATATTCCAGATAGTGTCTGGCAACATAATAGTAACTTTAAATCCTTTCACAAGAAAAATTTTCAAATTGTAGAGCTTGGCTATTGATGACGGGATGGATTGCATCTTGCCTCCGATGGCCAAGTACCTTAACTCAACAAGCATCTCTATTTCAGCGGGAAAATGTTCACCAAAGACAACTTCTCCCAAATCCAACACTTTTAGCAGTTTGCAGATTCTAAAAATGAAGAAGCTATCACAGGGTTGTATTGGGTACACTTCACCATGAGGAAAGAACATTAGACCACGTATCTGGGGACAAAACAGCCTTGACTTCTCAAAATACTCTTGCTTAGAGTATATGCACAATCTTCTTGTGTTGTATGACTCGCAAAAAGTATAAAGCCCATCATAGCCATGCAGCAACTGCAAAAAATTCTCCACTCTACCTTTTGTTGCCAAAAACTCATGTATCAAATCATGTACACGACAAGTTTTAATCCCACCAATAGATGTTTTCTTAGCAACCATGACTAAGCTTCTGCCAATTAGATCATTCATGTAGCCCTCTGCCACCTCCTCTAGTTCCTTGTGCTCAACTTGTTGCACGAGCCCTTCAGCGATCCACAACCAGATCAACTTTTGCATTGGAATTTCTAGGCCTTGTAGAAATGCTACAAAGTAAAGAAGGCAAGGCTTCAAGTAATCTGGTATGTGCCTATAGCTCAACTCTAACATATGCTTGCATTGATCTGATGCGTTAAGAATACGTGTACTTAGCCTTTCCGCATATTCTTTCCAACCATCTTGTTCTGTAGTTGAAAGAATTCCAGCTATGATGACAACTGCAAGAGGTAGCCCACAACAGCTTTTTGCTATCTGCATCCCAACTGTGGCTACTGTAAGAGGACAGGATTCATTGGGAAAGAGCATCTTCTGTAGCAACTCCCAGCTCTCATCATCAGTGAAGTGGCGTAGATGGTTAGGTTCACATGCTGTTTAACTTGTGAAGCAACTTCATACAGTCGGCTTGTTATGAGTATTCTACTTTTATTTGAATCATCTGGGAATGATTCCTTCAAGCCATGCCATGCCTTTATGTCCCATACATCATCCAAGACGATGAAGTACTTATTTAGCTTCAGGGATTGGTAGAGCTTCAGCGTCAAATCATCTGCTTCCATCTCAGAATATTGCTTAGAATTCTCAGGATAGATACAACCCAAAATCTCAAGTAATAAATCTTTCTTGCGATATACTTGAGAGACATTGCACCATGCCCAAATATGAAAATTGTTTCTAATTGAACGATTGTTGTACACACGTTTGGCTAAAGTTGTCTTGCCGAGTCCGGCCATGCCGACAATGGATACAACGTCCAATTTCTGCGACCCATATTTGACTTGATTAATTATTCTTTTTGTCTCATCATCGAAACCTACCACAACATGATTTAGTCTTGGGATTCTTGCTTGTAATGAGCCATAATTAGAAGTCTTGGCAACTTTCTTGGCTTCAGAGCCATACATGTCATCAATCTCTTTGGCTTGAGTTTTAATTTGCAATAGTTCTTCTGAGATGCTATCAAAGGACAAAGGAGAAAGATCAAAAGAGCTAATTAAAAGCATTACCTTGTTTGCCACCTCAATAGCATGACTCCAGAGAGCTGTGAGCTTTTCATTCTTGTTGCGCTGCTCATCAATCTTCTCAAAAACAGATCCCAAGATTACAAAATCTTTCTGAACTATCTGAATTTGATCCCTTGAATGGGCAACTAAATCAAGCCTTGCCAGCTCAGTCAGATTGTCTAGAAGAAACTTTATAAAGCCAAGCCCATTGGTCCCTGGGGAGTCAAATGTTGATGTTACTATCTTGATAAGCTTAATCTTCTCGAGAAAATCAAGAAATGCAAGACCCAGATCCTTCAGTAGATCTCCTTCTATTCTCTTTGTGAAAAGCGAATAAATCAGGATTCCTGCATCATTGACACTAGCTCCTACAAGATCCTTCATTTTTTGGTGTAGCAGATTGAACTTTTCCTGCTGCATTTTGAGAATGGCTCTCAAGAATCTGAGTCCATCATTGAGCATTTGCATCTGGTCTCGCTTTGCAACCGCAAAGCTGGTACCACAGTTTAGAACCTCCCACAGCATATCCAGCAGGGAATCAGCAAAGTTCCCAACTATACCCATATCTGTCTCAAAATCCAGACTGTGCAATAATCCTGTTAATTTTGCAGCTCTTAAGACCCGGGCACAAGTCTTGCTAAATTCAGGATTAACAGGCCTGATCATCTGTAGTAGTTCAGAAATCAGAAATTGAATTTCAATAAACACTTCATCATAGCTGTCAAACCAACACATGTAAGACAGATGGGCTGCCTGGACAGCCACAAATTGGAAGCGGGCCAACAGATCTTTCCACAGACTATGCTCAACACCTTCCCATGTTACAAAGAGGATCAAATCCTTCAGGAAGTTTAACTTCTCTTTGAGGGGTTCCTTGGGTCCTAAAACATCCCCCAGATTCTCTAGCAGGGAGTCAATGAATTCCAGAAGTACATCATCCACCATAGAAGAATTCGATAGCAATACAAAATCCAACAAGCTCATGTACAATTCGCTGAATTCTACCTCAAAAGTTCTTAAGATGGCCCGAAATTTAGACAATACCTCGAGGTCCTCGATCATATCATATTCGTAGGGGAGATCATCCTCCGTTAGAGCGTAGAAGGCCTCATAGTTGTTTAGAACAATAAGTTCACGTTCAAGGCTGGATAAGAAAGCTTCAAGGCTTCCATGCTTCCACCCGTCGAAGCTCCATTTTCTTGCACACAGAAGAAAAGTTCTTACAAGTTTTAATTCCAGCTTCACAATCATCACAACTTTCAGCTCCTCATCATAAATCTCCGCAAAGTCTGCATATAAGTCCTCAAATTTCGTTAATCTACCGAACAATTTCTCGAGGTTGTCCAAGACTGAAGCAATAGAACAATAAGTCAAATAAGTCATCTCGATCTTCATGTTTCTTTGCAATCCTCGAGCAAACTCTCTAGATCAAGAAGTACCCTGCAGAATGCAAAATGGAGTTTTTCAACATTTCAGTCAACTCCTTTTTTCCACGAGTCAAAAGCTACATGGGAAGAGCTTTTGACCGTTCGGCGGTGGCAGCAAGGGGCCTGTCCCCACCAAAATTATAAAAACTTGAAATTTTACAATTTTTATATGCAGTTCATTTTTTTTCTTGTCCATTATAATTATGATCTAATAGTATATATTCCCACGGTCCCACCTTCCTTCATTTTTGCCTTGGAGGAAAAGTCAATGTCCACTCTTTTTAAAGCTTATATCCGTTTGAACCGAGTAATTTGACAAAAGATTTGAAATCCATCCAAATCTTCTTTGATGTTTGAATTATTTAATAGATATTTTGATTTATAATACAGTAATTATTAATTATTTTCAAATATTAGAATAATTTATAATTTTTAAATCAAATACTTTCTAAATAATATAAATAACTAGAGCAATTTGAAAGAATTTCAGATTCTTGATCAAATCCCTCAATCTCAATCTAAACGAAGCCATTCTAGTATTTATATTCAATATTCACTAGTCTCCTTTCTTTTATATATTCCTAGCTCTGCCACTCAATACAACTTGACTGGAGTTTCACGTTAATGTTCTTCTAAACTTACTTAGGAAGGTTGGAAAAGAAAAAGTAAATAAATTATTATACATTGAATTTTGTAAAGCTCGGAAAATGAAGCAACCATATAGGAATTAGGAAAGAATGGCTCGTTGCCTGATTACTCTAATTGTTATTTTAGTTTTCAAAAGTTGCCCCAATGTTTTTGCAATGCTAATCTTTTTGCTGTCTCACAATATTAAAATTATAATTTAGCCCAAAAATTCATAATGAACTTCATGTTCCCAATCAACTTAACCTTTTTCTAAGCAAAATATTTACACGATAGCTTAACCTGAATGAGTTTATATTGTTTATTTATGAAATTAAAAGTACATATCTTCTCGACATCTTCCTTGAATGAGCTTATATTATTTATTTATTTTTTCAGTTCTGTTAAACATACCAAGCCACTAAGTGATATGGGGGTGGTAAATTCAAGGCAATCTTGGGATACTAATGTGTCAATAGCGAATGAACTGACATGCAACTATAGATGGAATAGAGCAATGATCAATAATTTCTTTTGGGCAAACAATAATATAACTTTCATTGATGTAGGAAAAGATTGTACGATATTTGAGGATATCCTCGGTAATACACTTTAAGCCATTAAAACTAGGATTGATCTTTAAAAACATAATTGTATATGTTACCAGTTTCGGATCAATGATAATTATACAATATTTGAATTTGAAATCCAACTTTTGCACATGTATTATATATTCAACAGTGATAATGTATATGCTCTCAGTGTATATAAGATTTACTCTTAAAACTATGCCCAGCCTACTTACAAGTATCAAACCAAACAAATAATCCCATGACTCAAACTCCATTCTAAAGCTATCATCCAGTTAGTTTGATTCCTCAGGAAGCCCTTCCATGTACTAGTTAAAATTTGGATCTCCTTCACCACATTACCCACCGGAGCTATAGCATTACACCTCTTTTCACTAAAAACAATATCATTCTGCGCTCTCCACAAGTGATATACAGTAACTACAGAGAGAGCTAGTTTCAACATATTTTCAGCAAAGCTTGTTTAAGCTACATGCTGTGTCAACCATCCAGACCCCTGTTGCCAACCATTTGCACCCCTAAAGACCAGAGAAAATAATTGAATCTTTCCCAGATCATAGCAGTAATTGGACAGTTAAAAAAAATAAGTGCCCCTGTGTTTCCTCTTCCAATTGCAAAAGGCACACATTGTATCAAAGTGTAAGCCCCATCTTCTTACTCTATCCTTAGCAGACAGCCGTCCTTTACACAAAAGCCACGTACCAAAAGCAAACCTGGGAACACTTCCTTTGAACCAAACCAGTTTTTGCCACTCGACTACCACTCCAGAGAGGACTGAGTGCCTTGACTGCAGATGCCACAGTGAACACTCCAGAATCATGGGCTAACCATTTAGCTCTATCAGCCATATGCTTCCTTGGGTGGAAGTTTACAAGAGTACTCTCAATCAATCTCTGAACTTCTGCATTGATTCTCTTGAATAATGGAATCTAATGTAGCAGATAGACAACACCCAAAAGCATATAGTAGCCTACTAGAAAACATTTTCACTAGTGGGCCACAAAGGGTGCCTGTTGTCAAACCACAGAGAAGTGGATTTCCCATTCCCCACCACTATTTTAATCCGCTTATGAGCCATATTTCGTATTTGCAAGATCTTCCTCCATATCCATGAGCGATCTGAAGAAATTCTAACATTCCAAAAGCATTTTCCTTCAAGTAAAATTTCATGCAGCCATTTGATCCACCGTGAATCTTTTTGACACAAATTAACCAAGTGTGTTTTAAAATCAGTCATTTATTCCTCAAACCAAGATCAATCAACCCCAAACCACCCTCCTTCTTTAGTTTACATACATCAGCCCAAGCTACTTTTGCACAGCAGTGAGATTTAACTTCATCCGATTGGAAGAAAGCAGCCATCAAACTCTCAATTTTCCTAATAATCTTCTTTGGTAATATAAAAACACTGGACCAGTCAGGATTGAACACTCTGCAACAATGATTGAATTAGTTGTAATCTACCCCCATAGCTCAATCTCTTTGTTGCCCAGCTTTTAGTCTTGATCTCACATTTAACCACGATAGCTTGACAATCTTTATAAGCTAGTCTAGAAGCAATCAAAGGGAGCCCCAAGTAACAGGTAATGCACCCAAAGGCATTCCCAACTTCCAACAAATCTGATCTTTTTTCTTAACAAGGAACCTCTGCCAAGAAAACACTACATTTCTGTATATTTGGACAAAAGCCAGATAGATCCCAAATTCTTGTAGGCTGCTATTGATTATGTCAAGAGAAGTGGCAGTAAGAGAGCACGTAATGAACAAATCATTTGCAAATATGATATGTGAAAGTGCAATTTTCTGACATCCTGGATGAGACACATAACCTCTATGTTGTATGTTTGATTAAAACAACACAGTGAAGCACTCCATGGCCAAGAGAAAAAGATAGGGAGAAAGTGGATCACCCTGCCTTAATGCTCTTTCATTGTGAAAATAATCTACCGTTGGACTAAAAATAATCTACCCTGCCTTAATGCCTTAATCCTTCGTCATCATTTAGATGAAAGATTAAAAATAGAGTATCTTACTGACAAAGATCCTCTTGTCCTTTGGAGAGATTTGAAAGAAAGATTCGATCACCTGAAATTGGTCGTTCTTCCAAAAGTCCGATATGATTGACTTCACTTATGCCTACAAGATTTAAAATTTGTCAACGAATATAATTCAGTCATGTTCAGAATTACTTCTCAATTATCATTATGTGGCGAAAAAATCACTGATGAAGATATGTTAGAGAAAACATTTTCTACTTTTCATGTCTCTAACATGCTCTTGCAGCAATAATATTGAGAGAAAGGATTTAAAAAATATTCTGAACTTATTGCATGCCTTCTCTTGGCTGAACAAAATAATGAATTATTTTTGAAAAATCATGAGTTCCGAGCAACTGGTGCAAGTCCATTCCCTGAAGCGAATGCGACTCAATTTCAAAATTTTGGTCAAAAATCATGGACGTGGTCGTAGAGATGGCTGTGGAAGAGGCCGTGGACATAGTCGTGGCCATGGACGCGATCATAGTAAATTTGTGCCTCGTGAAAATTATAACCATGGCAAACAACAAAATATTCCCCAAAAGAGAAATAATAACTACGATCAGAAAAATGGAGAAAAGAAAGTTTATGAAGAAAAATGCTACCGGTGTGATATGGAAGATCATTGGTCCTGTACTTGTCGTACGGCTGAACATCTTGTTGATCTCTATCAAGCATCATTGAAAAAGAAAGACAAAGGTATTGAGATAAATTTCATTGATCAAAAGAATAATTATGATGATGGTGATGATGCTGATATGACACACCTCGTTGCAGCTGATTTTTTCGAGCATCCTGAATATGTCAACAAATATCTCATGATTATTTAGATATTTTATGATGCTTTATATCTTTCATGTAATTTTCTTTCTATTTAATATTTATTTTCGCATCTTTATTAATATTTATTTTTATTTAAAATTTTCTTCCTGAACAAGAAATGGATTTCAAATATTTGGAATTAAATAATGGTAATAATGATATTTGTCTCATTGATAGTACTACTACGCATACTATATTGAAAAATAAAAAATATTTTTCTTATTTGAAAATAGGAGAGACAAATGTTAATACCATCAATGGTAGTGCAAAATTGATTGAAAAATTCGGAAAAGCCACTCTATTTCTCCCTGACGGGATTAAAATTGTCGTAAATAATGCACTACTCTCTCCCAAGTCTCGGAGAAATTTATTGAATTTTAAAGATATCCGCGAAAATGGATATCATATCGAGACAATGACTGAAACAAATGGAGAATTTATATTAATCACAAGTATCATTTCTGGGCAGAAATGCGTAGTAGAAAAATTACCTTCTCTTTCTTCTGACTTATATTATGCACAAAGTAGTGCAGTTGAAATTTATCACCTATTAGACCAGAAGTCTACTCATCCCAATGATTTTATGGTTTGGTATGATCGTCTCAGACATCCTGGATCTATAATGATGAGATGAATAATCGAGAATTCACATGATCAATCATTGAAAAATCAAAAGATATTAAAAATAAATGAATTATCCTGTGTTGCTTGTGCCCAAGGAAAATTAATTATTGGACCATCACTAGCTAAAGTTGGGACTGAATCCTCTACATTTCTAGAATAAATTCATGGTGATATATGTGGACCTATAGATCCACCATGTGGACCATTTCGATATTTTATGGTGCTCATTGATGCATCAACTAGATGGTCACATGTATGTT